TGTCAACAAAGAAATAAATTTTATCCCTGCATCACATGTATTTATTTTAGGATTAGAAAGAAAGAAAATACTGGTAACTGATATTAAAAGAAGCAAAAGATTGTGCTAGAATAATTCTGAATAGAGTGAATATGATTACAGTGCGAAGTATGTGGTTATCAATAGCATTATTGTATTACCATTTATAGATCATAAAGAAGCAATAATTGATGAATTATTAACTATTTGGAGCTGATGATGTCATTTTGAAATGGTATGCCACATTACTTTGTTTATTAATTTGTTAGAAACTATTTATAGTTATCATACAACAATAATATAAAGAAATAAGGGTGGAACAGTCAGTATTTTATCAATTTTAATATGTTTTATAAATAGTTAGTTGTTTATTGTTTACAGTTATGTTTACTTACATTTTTAGTTACTTTAAATAGTTTAGTAATTATTTTTACTAGTTTTATTGCGTTAAATTTACTTGTATTTTGTTGTTAATTTCATGTCAATCAATGTGATTTTAACCTTTTGTATTTGTTATTTTCAATCTATTTTAATTGTTAAAATAACTGTTGAGAATGTTAATTTAACGACAGTCATGTGGAACTACAGCATTAACCACATTTTGTATTGGTTAAATTGACCTTAAATTCAAGATTAATGTGAAAATGGTTAATTTAACTACAAAACAAAATGGTTAAAATTAATCCAAAATTTAAGGTTAACGGCAAATAGTTAATTTAACTGCAAAACAAAATGGTTAACATTAACTAAAATTTAGGTTACCCTGGTTGCATTTTCATTAACCTGAAATTTGGGGTTAATTTAACTATTTTGTTTTTACAGTGATATAAGAAGAGATATTCCTTCATGATCATTAACAGCATTTCTAATCTTTCTTACAGTATCAGCATGAAGCAGTGGTAGAGATCCCTCCAGTTGTCCTTTGATTAATAACTCATGAAACTCTATCAATTCAGATACTTTTGGTCTATCATCTGGTATATCCATTAATCCAATAGAAGAGAGTGGAGGACATCCCATCAATGGCTTTTTTGTGCCTGTAGGAGGAGCTGGTCCTATTGTTGAAGAAAAAAGAAATTTACCACAGGAGCTTCCAAATTAAAAATTCATATTTTCCCATAAGAATAATATAATATTATTCATTCATTAATTGTATCTGTATATGGTATACTCTATGAATCATGATTTATTTATAATAGCCAATTCTTGTACATCTAGATACTTTAGTTTAGTGATGTAACACTCACCAGTAGCAGCACTGTGTACATCATTGGTTCCTTTGATATCATTACCACTGATCATAGCATTACGTTCTTTAGAATACACACACAGTCAATACTAATACAATCAGTATTATTAGCTTACTCTCTTGATCTAATTTTTCAGCTGTAGCATTCTCATTCATAGATTTAAGAGCATCTGACAGTGAGTCAAAGGTAGCTCCTCCTTTACTGTCAACATTATCAGCTCTACGCAACCACTTGGAGAGGCACTTTTTGAAGCTTTGAGATACATCACGAGGATGCTTCCTTGCAATGGCATCCAGTGTGTTCTTGTGTAGCCCTAGTTCAAGTCCCAGCTCATACCATCTTGTCTGAGGGAAACCACAATTCATCAACAGATCATTAAGTACAAGACGTTGCTCTATTAACAATAAAATGAATCTTACTCTAATTAATAAATATTACTTATAGTCAAAGGAGAAGTCCAAAGAGGAGAAAAAGAAGTGGCAGTAGCTGGAGAGCTGCTCTTGGCTCCCATTGCCAGCTAGCTTGCAAAGTTAGGGTGGGGCTGGATACGAAAATATGTCCCCCGTTGACAGAAATATCACGTGATATATTATTCCGCGTCAGCAAATTTTTGTCCTACCCCCAAAAAAGTGTAAAAAGAACTGTAAATCTTTGTATTTTTTTAATAGTTCGATCTATGGAATACACGTGAAAAGGATGTGGGACCTTTATTATACCATAGATATTATAGACCGTACGTAACCGGTGTTGGAGGGTAGTTGGACCCCCTTATTTTTGGATCGGGGGTCCATATGGCAAGCCAAATGTTTCAAAATTATATCCCTACCTTATGACGTGATTTACGTCGACACGACATAAAAACGTCGTAACAATGTGTTTAATATGTCGTAACAACATGTTTTATGTCAACCTATGGCAAGTAGGACCGACATACTTATTGGGTACTATCAATAGTCATGATGACTATTTAGTCGTGATGACTTTAAATGGACCTTTAGCACTTAACCAATTCTAATTAACGCGCCACAGAAAAAAGTGGTAAAATGGCTGATTTTTGGAGGAAAGACAGGCTAAACAATCTTCTCTTTTATCCAGCCATTCTAGCTGTGAGAACCACTTTGAGCTGTCCTTTGTTTCAGTATGCTCTATTTATCTCTTCTGTAAGCTCTTTGGTTGCTGTTTTGGCTTTAATAGCATTTTATCGTAG